GGTTGGAACGTGTGATAAAAGGTGAATGAATCACTTTCGGGCCTCTGAAGAAGGCGTTGTGCCGAAACGTTGTGCTTCGCAATAAAGTGTTTCACTAACAACCTGTAACGGTATGAACACAAGATAAATGCTAATAATTCCCTTTAAAACTCATTAGTTTAAACTTTACGCCGTTCCTTCCTATGAAGGTGGGGTTGCTGACCAACAAGTTTTATTTGCAACACGCAGTAAAAAATTCAGTTCGAAAAAAATGGTCATTTTTTTTGAGTTACTTCTGGCTTATTGGCTAAGCTATTAGCGCCAGTTGTTTGGTTGATGTTTAGTATCCTTAATATAAGTGTTTCCAGATGTTGGCCAAACTAATCTGCGCTCGCCATAAACCCCGACAGCAGACAATAATCCCATTTGACTTTGTGCCTATCATATTTGAAGAGACTCCAGTGGGTGATGTACGTATGTTGGGAGGAAAGTTGGGTCATGCCATACAGGGAAGACTACCTGTTCGGGTAGGTGTCTTTTCGTCTTTGAGAAAAAAACACGAATTCTCCTTTTTAAAGACAATGGGTGACCTCGCTGTAGTTCCTTTTGAACTTATTGAGAAGCACTTTGGAGGTTCAGCACAGTGGATAAGCCAGTTGGCGAAAGGATATGACGATGAGCCGGTAATTTTCTGTATAAAATATCCTTCAAAATATGGTAATCGTAGCTAATAATAATATTTAATAGTAATTATATTTCAGGTGAAACCGCGTAACAATCAACTATCTATTGCCGTTAGTAAGAACTTTTTAGGAAAGAATGCGCTTCTCACTGTTGCTGAGGTGCGACGGTAAGCTTTGTTATTGATTTTTGAACGCTATTTTATTCAAAATTTTCCAAAGGAAAGTTAGAATGGTTGTTTAGGAAAATTAATAATTGTGGTTTTTTCTCCTTAGCCGGTATGAACAAGTGATTTGTGGAAGATTTTTCAGAAAAAATTCCTTCCTTACTTCATGTGACATTTTCACATATATACTCAATTTTCCTTAAAAATTATCGGCATCATTC